GAGTCGAGAGCATTCTAAGAGGTAAGAGATAAAAGAAAAATAATAATAATAAATAATAATATTAACAGCCACAGAAGTTTTCATCGATATTGAAGAAATTTAAAGACTCCAAATTTACATTTAATCCTCTAATTCAGCTTCTCATCTGATGCCATTCAGTGAGCTAATCAAACATGTTCATCTACTGCATTTGTTTCTTTGTGTGTCTGGTTTTTGGACGGTATTATTTAGGTAAGCCAGTGTCACTATATGATAAAAACTGTGGACAAAACAGCATTTTGATAGTGCCATATTTTCCTCAAAGTAAATGGGGCCAAGATAGACTTCTAGAATGGTTAAATGTGAGTTACACTGTACATAAACACTTAATACCAGAAATATTAAAATCTTAAAAAAAAACAGTGTTTGTGATTGAAATACTTTAGGTAAAATGATAACCTGTGCTAATTTATTTTCGTGCCTTTTATTTGTCACTGTCGGTACGCTCCTCTATGCACAGTACAAGTTGGACTCAGCGATTTTGTTATGTTTTTAATCTTAAATGGAAATATATTTTGTTTGTAAGTGAATTATGTCCATTGTGTCACACTCGACAAACATGCAATTCCATATTCTTGAATATTACGTTACTGGGTTTGCTAAAATTAGGCTTTTTTCCTTCTTATTTAACCATCACGCCAATTTGTGTTAAAATAAACTGGATTAATATTGCGAATCAATGGGCATAAATAGTTCTGTGCTTCCAGGCATCGAATCGAGTGGCTTTGTGTACATTACTCAAATCATGATATTGTTTTGCATCTACCTCTGAGAAAGTTGCTTGTATGTGTAACTTTACTGGAATTTTTATTGGAAGTGTTTTTAACCCTGTTGTGAATGTTAAGTGGGTTTCCTTGTATTTGTGTTTCTCCTTATTTGTTTTTTTTAACCCGTCATCCGTTCACCAGGAGCCATTCTGAGAGTCAACCAAAGCTGCAATACAATTGTTGAAAATAATGAAAAAATAATGTCTGTCGCTGCAACTCCATCTGCATTTGTATTATTTGTACTATGACCAGGATTATTTTTGTTGTTCTGTTGATTTACAGCAAATACCTTACTTTTTAATAGCCTAATGGTCTTGAAATAAAGATGGTTATATTTATGTTAACACACTTTTTGATGACTCGGTTTTCAATTTGCTTAAATGGGCGGATGGATGGATGGATAAATGGATGGATAAACGGACTGATGGATGGATAGACAAATGAATAGATGGACGGATAAATAAACAGATGGACTATTGGATAGAAGGACAGTCAAATAGTTTGAGGGATGGACGGATGGACTGACGGATGGATTGATTGAGGTGTATGGATGGATGGATGGATGGTTAGACTGATGGATAAACGGACAGATGGATGAACTGATGGATGGATAGACAAATGAATAGTTGGACGGATAGATAGACAGATGGAGTGTTGTATAGAAGGTCAGACAGATGGACTGACAGAAAGACTCACAGATACTTTGAGGTACGAACGGATGAACTGACAGATATATGGATAGACAAAGATGGATGGATTGATTGAGGCATAGATATACGGATGGATGGATAGACTGATGGATAGACTGATGGATAAATGGATGAATAAGCAAACCAATGGATAAACTGAAGGATGGATAGACAAATGAATAGATGGACGCATAGATAGCCAGATGGACTATTGGATTGATAGAAGGACAGACAGCTAGTTTGAGGGACGGATGGATGAACTGACAGATAGATAGATAGATATATAGATAGAAAGATGGATGGATGGGTTGAGGTTTAAATGGATAGATGGATGGACGGACGGATGGATAGATGGATGGACAGATGTATGTACGGATGGATGGATGGATGGATGGACTGACAGATAGATGGATGGATGGACGGACGGACATACAGACTGGAGAGATAAATAGATGGACATATGGATGAATAGTTTTTTTTGCAGCAAATACTGTAGTTGTAGTTAAATGAATTCAGCACAGATCAAGTACAACAATCTAATCATAACCATAAGATTCATCTTTTAGGCTCCAGTCACGCAGTATTTCCCTGGTGAATAATCTCCATTGTGGAGCAGTTAATGTGGGCTTCACCGCCTCCAAACTCAAACCAGACTAATGGTGTTTTGTGTGGCTTTTCAGACTGCAGTCGCTCTTTCCAAATGGGAGGCTTTAAATCTAATTAAACTCCCGCACTTTTTGTTTAGCCACTGCATTAATGTGGGTTGTTTGTGTGTTGTTGATTTTATTTATACTGCTGTAAATATATACTAATTAACTACTTTAGTATTTTCCCCAGTTTTACCCCCTTTTGCCTTCTAAACTGCCTTCAAATATTTCTTAACTGACACTTTATTCTTTTCTTTTTGTCATTAAAGCAAGAAGTTGTTTAATTATTTTTTATTATTATTATTATTATTGAAAAGCTTCTTAAAGTCCTTTTTCCTAAGATTGTTCTTAAGAAGAGTGTTGCAATTTGTTTAAAGATTATTCCTAAAATTCATCTTAAATAACTAGTGGTAGATCTAGGATAAGGTTTATTTATTTATTTAATTTATTATTATTATTATTATTATTATTATTTTAAATATTGATTATTACAGAATCTTAAAACATACCTTAAAAAGGTACCACACAATTCATTCATGTTGTCAAAACACAAATTAAGTTAACGTTACACGTTTAAGTAGAGCAATCAAGTTTAACTAAGTAGTTTGAACAAGCAGCAAACTCATTGATTGAGTGTAATACACCACTGTAACTACACAACTATTTTTACTTGTTTACACAACCATACCATACTAGATGTTTGTGGTTGAGATGAAAATACTATTGATTTCAATTCTGCTCTTTACATTTCAAAAGCTTTACATTCAAAATCTGGACCGGGATGTGGATGCTACTTTAATAGCAGGACAATAAACTGATACAATTCAAAGGAAGCAGTAATGAAATTGTTGTGGCAATACTTTCATTTTATTCATAAGACAAAAAGAGATGTTCTTAAGAATAAATTTGAGATCTTTTTTGAAGATTTTGTTTGCAAATCATAGTTTAAACAGAACAGCATACAGAACTACTGAACTTGATGTGAAGCATTTTCACTGTTGGGAAAAACAAAAACATTTGATTTATTTAAAAAGCAATAATAGAGCTCATGTTGAACAACAATATTGAGTTGTGTTTGAGATACTAATTGGATTTTATATATGCCAAATTTACTTTAAGAAATACCTTAGAAGATTTTCAAGAATTCAGCAGCAAATGGCACTCGGGAGGCCGTTTGAGTTTAGTGAACACGTGATCATGTTCACTAAACCTGTTTCAGGTTTTGCTAGAGGAATGTTGTTCTGTTTAAACAATGATTTGAGCAATGACAGTTAGGGCCCTAACGTGTGCCAAAAGAGAGAGCTTGTCACACTAGTACACCTAATCTGCTTCATAGTTTGGTGTATTGTTGTACAGACTGTTATCTGGGACTAGGATTATAAACATATCTTGGAATTTTGTAATCAACCAATCAGAATCAAGTACTCCAGCAAGCTGAACTGTAATGAACTTCTTTCCAATTGAACAGGGTTTAATGCAATATGTAATCATTATAGATAGATAGATAGAAAGATAGATAGATAGATAGATAGATAGATAGATAGATAGACAGACAGACAGATAGATAGATAGATAGATAGATAGATAGATAGATAGATAGATAGATAGATAGATAGATAGATAGATAGATAGATATGTACATTTTATATATATATATATATATATATATATATATATATATATATTTTCCTCAGATTTATTCTAAATCATACATTCTTTTTCAGTGTGGTTCATCCTTCAGAAATTGTGTTTGTGTGTGCAACACAATCTCAAGGCCATTCGTGACATTTTGATTTAGTGGCTAATTCGTACGAATTCATACGATCTCATTTGTATAATTTAGTATGATTTGCTCATCCCCCAATGACGGTTTGGTTTAGGGCGGGGTTTGGTGCCACGTCTCCTTTTTAAAAATGTAAAAATTCGTACATCTAAACTTATACGAATTCACCACTAAACTGACAAAACGTACTTATGTTTTCTCGTGAGATCAACCCTCCCGTTTTTCACAGGACTCTTCCGTATTTTACTATTCTACCCGCTATCATCTCGTTAAAGTATTTTCCCGTATTTCTCCTATATGAATCGAATGCTTTCATTATAGATCTGTGCATTCTTAAAGGGACCCCTCTGTTAATTAATCTTAATCCAACAAAAAATCTAAATGAGAGATTAATTTGCTGCTAACTTGCTTTGCTCTTCACTAAATAATTATAGCATTTTTAATCAGAATGTATACTGGCGGTCAAAAGTTTGGGGTCTGTAGGATTTTTAAATGTTTTAAAATAAGCTTCTCCTGCTCACTAAGGCTGCATTTATTTAATCAAGAATACAGTACACGCTGTAAAACAGTGAAGTGTTATTGCACTGTAAAATAACTGTTCAAAAGTAGCTTATTATTTAATTTAATTATTTATACCAGTGACTTTAATGACAATGTTCACCTTCATGTCCAGTCTTCAGATTCACATGATCCTTCAGAAATCACTCTAATATTAATTATTATTATTGTTTTTATTACTATTAATATTATTAATGGTAATAGTAATGTTAGCAAAATAACTGGAGTAATAATTTCATTTGAAACTGCATACAATAGGAAAGCAGTTATTTAAAATTGTAATAAATATTTAACAATTTAACATTTTTATATTAATAAACGCCACCTTGATTAACGGAATAATTTTCTTTTAAAAAAACTGGACCCCAAACTTTTGACCGGTAGTGTATATTAAAATTTAATTTCTGTATATTAGGCCTCTTAATTTTAATAGGTTAAAACTATTTAATTTATTTGCAGTTTTTTTTTTCTAAAGTATGCTTTTTATTCTGTTGTTTATTTCTTTTTTTTTCTCCATATTACTGACCGTTTAAAATTTTATTTATCAGTTGAATCTCTTTTTTTGCATCCCAAAGTTGACAGGTATGACGTGTGTGTACATGTGCTTGTGCATGAGAGTTCACTTCTCTGAGCACAGAAAGTGAAATCACGCTGAATGAGTGTCAGCTGACTTTGGTCACAGGATTTTAGGGAGAGCATCCAAAAAAAAAGAAAGAAAAAAAAATCTCCCATTTACAGTGCAAGACTTCAGACTCCACAGACACTAACCCATTCTGTCCACCTCTTAACTTCTAACCAGTGTTTATTCTTTCCATTATTCTCCATCTGTCTGCATGCATGCGTGTGTAACTAATTCCCCTTCAGCAGATGACGTTCCTGTTCAGTTTTGTTTGTTTTGGTGATGCCGATGCTCTGATGACCTGATTTCACCTTTTTTCTTTAAATGCATGAAGACGATCCTCTCCTTCAGTCTACTGAATGCATGACTTGTTTGTGTCTGTTGTTGATGTGTGTTGTTGATCTCTGCATAAGCGGCTCTATGTGAGGACAGTACAGTATGTGGTGGTTTCAGCAAGGTCTGTGTTTTCTGCCGGTGGCTCTGGTTACCTGGTCGTCCGCCACATTCCTCATCTCCTACACCACAGCGGTGGTTTTGGGCCATGCTGACCTCCTTGTTCCATACATAAGGTAAGTTCCTGAAAGATGATGATGGCTTTTTCCCTTTTATTTATGCCAGTGGCTATTTTTTAGGGTTTAAAGATTTTGTGAAGAAATACATAGAGGGTGAAAATAATTCATCCACTTTTTTTCAGCTTTATTTGAATCGGATGTCATTGTTTTAGGTTTTTAATAAGGCGAGAGAAATCTTTATGATGAAATAGCCAGACGTGAGAAGAAATCATAGTGGTTTTGTGTAATATCTCACTGAAAGACTTCATGTGCAAATTTAATGTTAATTTGTATAGATTTTGTATTTAAATTGTTGTACATCGACACTAAACGTGATGTAAAAAATAATATATATATTATATATATAAAAAAATATATATTAATATATATATTTTATTTATTTATAAAGTATTCATATGGCTTCATTCATTTTATAATATAAAAAAGCAGTATTTTATATTAAAAGGTAATAGGAAAATTATATTAAATGTTATTAAAGTGTCAATTTTCATATTAAATGTGAATTAAATAATGCTCAGTCTAACAGGCATATGTTTGTGTGCATGTGTGTCCGTGTGCGTGTGTGTGTATGAAGAGTTTAGATGTAAAAAACTAAATGCCGTTTGATATTTTCTTCCAAAGTAGCTTTTTTTTTCAGACTCCTGTGTGTAGGCTCAGTCATTTTACTTATATTGTTTATGATGAATAAGTTATTTTCATTGATTTTAGAGTAAAATAACTGAACATAAACATAGCATGCTGAGACAAATGGTCATTTTAGGAAAATTTCAGATGGCATTTACAGAGTTGTGCATCTGAACTCTTCATATATACAGTTGAAGTCAGAATTATTAGCCCCCCCTGAATTATTACCCCCTCTGTTATTTCCCCCCAATTTCTGTTTAACGGAGAGAAGATATTTTCAAGACATTTCAAAACATAATAGTTTAATAACACATCTCTAATAACTGATTTATTTTATCTTTGCCATGATGACAGTAAATAATATTTGACTAGATAGTTTTCAAGACACTTCTATACAGCTTAAAGTGACATTTAAAGGCTTAACTAGCTTAATTAGGTTAACTAGGCAGGTTAGGGTAATTAGGCAAGTATTGTATAATGATGGTTTGTTCTGTAGACCAACAAAAAATATATAGCTTAAATGTGGTAAAAATAATGACCTTAAAATGGTTCTTAAATGAAAAACTGCTTTTATTCTAGCCGAAATAAAGCATGTAAGACTTGTTCGAGAAGAAAAAATATTATCAGACATACTGTGAAAATTTAACTGCTCTGTTTAACATAATTTGGGAAATATTTAAAAAAGAAAAAAAATCTAAAGGAGGCTAATAATTCTGACTTCAACTGTGTGTGTGTGTGTGTGTAATTATATATATATTAGTGGTGTAATGGATCACAATCACACTACGGTTTTTGAGTTACAGATTGGACCGTTTTTCAAATCGGCAAAAAAAGGGAGAAGAAAAATGTAATTTGCTTTTCATTTATTACAAAAATATTACTGCAAAAACCACTAGTTTTAACAAACAGAACATAGAACGTGAATAACTTGTAAGTTTAATGAAAATAAAAATCAAGAAAGAACCAGCTGAAAAAAGGAAAATATTCAATATGAAAAATGATCTTTGCTACTTCGCCACCCGTTGTTTACCTATTATGTAACTGCTACAACATTCACCAGCGTCAAGTTCCATTAAACGGTGACTTTAAACTTAAGCATAAACATCAGTGTTTATATCTGAACTATAAACTGTTCTCCCAGTAAATCTGTGTTATTTAATTGTTTGTAGCGAACTGAAAAAAAGTGTAAAAATGAAATCTCTATCAAACGCAGATTTATATGCAGCGCTTCGAAGCATTAATAAACACATGCAAATCACTATCATTTATAATGCATGTTGCACGATTTGAATTGAGATCACGATCTTTTAATGTTTAATTGTTCAGCTTTACACTGAAAACACCAATGCAGGCTAAGCAAGCAGTGACAGAAAACACCTTTAATTAATAAAATAAGAAAGCATTCAGGTAGGTCCCACCACAACTTTTTCCGCCATCATCATATTATATATATATATATATATACTGTTTGCGTGTGTGTGTGTGTGTATGTATGTATGTATGTATGTATATATGTATGTATGTATGTATGTATGTATGTATATATAAGTTTTTAGGGTTACACTTTACAATAAGGTTTGATTAGTTGGTTTTTACTTATGACGTGAACTAATTAACAATACTTTAATTGAATTTAATAATTATGATTAGACATTTATTAAACTTTCAATATTCAATGTAAATTAAACATATAAATCCCTTAATATCATTAGTTCTTGCACCATGAATTAACATGAACAAACTTGATTTTCATTAACTAACTTTAGATGCATTCAATAACATTACCTAATACAAACTTATCGTGAAGTGTTACTGTTTTTATATATTTAAAAAATAAAATACTAGTATCCAGTGAGGGAAATAAATGTTGAACACATCACGGATGTTGGTAACAACCAAAGAAATCCATATATGCAACGAAAATAATATTAATCAGTTTACAAATGAAGTTGTGCGTAATAAAATGAAATGAAGTATTGAACACATGAAGAAAGGGAGGTGCAGAAAGGCAGTGAAAGCCCAGACAGCAGCTGAAATCTCTCAGTAGTTCTTCAGCAACCCTCTGTCCTTCCATCTCATTGTGAATGAATATTAGCTGCTTCAGTCCAACATCCACATTAGCAGGAGGATGTAGATGAAACCAGAGTGGATATTTCAGCAAGACAATGATCCAAAACTTTTGGCAAAAGTTGTGAAGTAAAAAGCTTGTCGGATACACTGACTGGAAACTTGCACTTTAATGACTTGAATTGCCGGGATTTCTAATTTTAGGTCTTGAAATTTGAAACCGCTGTTTATATTAGCTGTGAATATTTCAATTCAAAACACATTTTCATACTTAAACTCAACACTTCATATTCAACCACCTCCAAAATATTCAGTTCTGTCTTAAAAGTACAAAGAATAATATTAAAAAGGACATTTTCAGCTCATTTTAGTTTGGTTCAAAAACTCGCTTCCATAAATTCAGTGGCTTAAATTCGGCTGTTATAACCGGCATCACATCCAGGAGCTGCAGGAAAAGCAATAGATTGCAAAACGCAGATTCAGTAGATTGCAGATTGCTTTTTCATCAGCAGGCGGAGATGGACCAATTTAAGATTTTAAACCAGCAAATAGATGAGGAAAAAGCTAATAATGGCACAAAAGTAGCATTTAATATTAATATCAATGCCTTTGACATTATAAATATAGACTAATAAAAGGATTATGAGTAAGCCTAATCTGAGTAAATGATGTTTTGGACATTTATATTTGCCTAATGTAACGAAAGCCAGCTCGTGATCGCATAAAGGCAAGGCAAGTTTATTTATATAGCACATTTCATACACAGTGGCAATTCAAAGTGCTTTACATAAACAAGAATAAAAGAAACAAGTAAAATAAAAATAAAAAATAAAAATGCGTAAAAACAAAACAAAACATAAAAACAGGTAAAATGTGATATAAAAGAATGAAGAAGAAGAGAAAAACATGATAGTGCAATCTGTCGGATGCAGCACAGTGCTCATTCAGTAAAGGCACAGCTAAACAGAAGTGTTTTCAGTCTTGATTTGAATGTGCCTAATGTTGGAGCACATCTGATCATTTCTGGAAGCTGATTCCAGCAGCGAGGGGCATAGTGGCTAAAAGCCGATTCACCCTGCTTTAACTGAGCTCTTGGAACTTCTAGTTTATATGATCCTAAAGATCAGAGTGATCTGTTAGGTTTGTATTAACCTCACTCCTCAGAGGTAATCCAGCGATCTTTCGCCTCCTCATAAAGCATCTCCCATTCCGGTATCACAGGTTTGCCCGCGCTCAGACCGGTGAGGTTACATATGCACGTAAACTCTTTTGACAAATATGATATTGCACATTATCTCCATCTCTATTAACCCTACGTATATGCCGTAGAAGTAACATTTATTATTATTATTATTATTATTATTATGATTACTGGCTGCTATGAAGAATGAAACTACATAAAAAAGATAAACAGGAAAATAATATAATAATAAAAAATAAATAAACACAATTCCCGAGGTAACGGCAATTAATGAATGTCACACAAAGCTTTCCACACTCTTGGAATTGTTAGATGTAGAGTGTTCGGGTATGATTTTACAGTATGGATAGGGTAAATAATTTAACATAGCAGAATGCATTAAAGGAGAACATTAACATTTTTCACATTACAGTTGTGAAAAAAACACAACTGAGCGCTGCATGTGACTTCATTCTCCATATGAGATGTGTCTGTAAGCTGCCATCACCAAAACAGCCTATAAAGCATTAAACATGTCAGTAGTTCAGTTCTTTCTCCTTGTGTCATTATATTGTTATTACACACAACTCATTTTTCAGATTATTATTATTATTTTTTTATTTTTCTGTGTGTATTGTTGGGTTGGGTTTTTACCAAAATCCGGTTCAATTCTGTCAACATCTCTTTCAGAAATATTCCCAGGAAAAAAACTGACATGTTTAACACTTATTTTCTCGGCTGTAATAGAAGTATAGTGGCAAAGTACAACGATTTAAAATAAAACTGTGTTTTGAGATTGTGATCTTTAAATATTTTATGATCATTTTAACATTTTTATCATGCAATTAAATTTTAATAATACATTGAGTGCAGCTTTAAGATTCTGATGCCTGTAGATCAGATATTTTGGGAGGTTAGTTGACTTGTTTCTGTCATGCTCTGCATTTCTCATTATTTTGTTTGTAGTGACACAGGCACCGAAGTTCCTGAACGCTGTGTGTTTGGCTTCATGCTCTCAATCTCAGCTTTCTTAGGTAAAGCCGTCCATCTTTCCTCTCAAGTTCAGGATTTCTCTTTCAGATTGCTGTCACTGGCTTTTCACTCTGTAATAGGTAAAATTAAATTACTGCTCTTGTGTGTGTGTGTGTGTGTGTGTGTGTGTGTGTGTGTGTGTGTGTGTGTGTGTGTGTGTGTGTGTGTGTGTGTGTGTGTGTGTGTGTGTGTGTGTGTGTGTTTCAGGCTTGGGCACCATGTATGTGCGATATAAACAAGTTCAGGCTTTGATTTCAGCCTCAGAGTCTGGTTTACAGCTGCTGAACTACAGCGGCCTGCTCATGGGCATCTTTAGCACTGTGGGCATGTGTGTCGTGGCCAACTTCCAGGTGACAGACTTCCTGTTCTGATGTTTGTTGTAAAAAAAAAAGATCTGCAAAGTTACAAAGCACAGACCATTTTAAAACAATTATTCTTTATCAGTAAGCACTGATTCAATTATTCAAGTGTTCTGATCAGAGTCTCTATTAAACAACTCACTGATGTCTCCAGTGAACGACTCACTGATTCAAATGATTTCTTCAGAATGAATCTCCAGTAAACGACTCACTGATTTAAATGAGCTGTTCAGAACGAGTCTCCAGTTAACGACTCACTAATTTAAATGATCTCTTCAGATTCGAGTCTCCAGTGAATGACTCACTGATTCAAATGATCTGTTCAGAGTGAGTATCGAGTGAATAACTCTCAGATTCAAATGATCTGTTCAGAATGAGTCTCCAGTGAACGACTCACTGATTCAAATGATCTGTTCAGAATGAGTCTCCAGTAAACGACTCACTGATTCAAATGATCTCTTCAGAGTGAGTATTGAGTGAATAACTCTCAGATTCAACTGATTCAGATCAGTGGAGTCTCCAGTTAAATATTCACTGATTAAAATGATCTGGTCAGAGGGAGACTCCAGTTAGCGATTCATTAATTCAAGTGATCCATTCAAAGTGGGTCTCTAGTTAATCACTCCACGATTCAAATGATCCAGTAATAACAGTATGCTTTTTGATATCGTTGTCTCTAAAATTGTCAGTGTCTTGTTTTGTTCTATTTTTTCAGAAATCAGATGTGATGTCGATCCACCTTCTGGGTGCTGGTTTGACTTTCGGTCCTGGGACACTGTATATCCTGGTTCAGACCGGCATGTCGTACCGCATGCAGCCTCGCTTCCACGGCAGGGACATTCTGTGTGCGCGTGTGGCCGTGGGCATGTGGTCCCTCATCAGCATCATTGCACGTATCCTACACGTCAATATACAGTTGAAGTCTGAATTATTAGATCCCCTGAATTATTAGCTCCCTCTATATTTTTCAAATTTCTAAACATAAGTTTTAATAACTTATTTTAATAGCTGATTTTTTTTTTATATTTGCCATGATGACAGTACATACTAGTTATTTTTCAAGATACTTTTATTCAGCTTAAAGTAAAGTTTAACTGATTTAATGATGGTTTGTTCTGTAGACAATCAAAAAAAAAAATAGCCTTAAAGGGGCTAATAATATTGATCCTAAAATGGTTTAAAAAAATTAAAAACTGCTTTTTTTTTCTAGCCGAAATAAAACAAGACTTTCTCCAGAAGAAATAATATTTTAGGAAATACCGTGAAAAATTCCTGGCTGTGTTAAACATCATTTGGAAACCATTTGAAAAATAAAGAAAAAAGATTGACCGGAGGGCTAATGATTTTGAATTGTTGAATGTACAGTTTTTAAAAGAATCTGGTGTGTAATGATGAGCAGTGCTCTGCTTCTTTGACTGAGTCTTTCAGTGTTCGTATCCTCTGTGGTAATGTATGACGATCTGCCTGGAGTGAATGTGGCTGCTAAATTACACTGGCAGCCTGCAGAAAGAGTAAGACATGACTTTTTACATTTTAACATATTACACCTAGTATACACTCACCGGCCACTTTATTAGATACACCTGTCCAACTGCTCCTTTACGCAAATTTCAAATCAGGCAATCACATGGCAGCTAGTCAATGCATTAGGCATGTAGACATGATCAAGACGGTCTGCTGCAGTTCAAACTGAGCATCAGAATGGGGAAGAAAGGTGATTTAAGTGACTGAATGTGGCATGGTTGTTGGTGCCAAATGGGCTGGTCAGAGTATTTCAGAAACTGCTGATCTACTGGGATTATCATGCACAACCATCTTTAGGATTTACAGAGAATGATCTGAAAAAGAGAAAATCTCCAGTGAGCGGCAGTTCTGTGGGTGCAAATTCCTTGTTGATGCTAGAGGTCAGAGGAGAATGGCCAGCCTGGTTTTAGCTGATAGAAAGGCTACTGTAACTCCAATAACCACTCGTTACAACCAAGGTGGAAGAGCATCTCTGAGCGTATAACACATCCAACCTTGAGGTGGATGGGCTACAGCAGCAGAAGACCACACCAGGTGCCACTCCTGTAAGCTAAGAACAGAAAACTGAGGCTACAATTCACACAGGCTCACCAAAATTGGACAATAGAAGATTGGGAAAACGTTGCCTGGTCTGATGAGTCTCAATTTCTGCTGCAACATTCGGATGGTCAGAATTTGGTGTCAGCAATATATATAATCATGGATCCATCTTGCCTTGTATTAATGGTTCAGGCTGCTGATGGTGGTGTAATGGTGTGAGGGATTTTTTTTTTTTTCACACTTTGGGCTCATTAGTACCAACTGAGCATCGTATCAACGCTACAGCCTACCTGAGTACTGTTGCTGACCATGTCCATCCCTTTATGACCACAGTTTACCCATCTTCTCATGGCTACTTCCAGCAGGATAAGGCGCGGTGTCATAATGCGTGAATCATCTCAGACTGGTTTCTAGAACATGACAATGAGTTCACTGTACTCAAACGGCCTCGACAGTCACCAGATCTCAATCCAATAGAGCACCTTTGGGATGTGGTGGAATGGGAGATTCGCATCATGGATGTGCAGCCGACAAATCTGTCGCAGCTTCTTGATGCTATCAATTATGGAGCTAAACCTCTGAGGAATATTTCCAGTGCCTTGTTGAGTCTATGGCATAAAGGATTAAGGCAGTTCTGAAAGCAAAAGGGTCCAACCCGGTACTAGTAAGGTGTACCTAATAAAGTGGCCAGTGATTGTATATGCAAAATGAATATATATTTTCACTGTATTTGTCCAAATATGAAGGATCCAACAGATGAGACTATGTGAAATGCTATATTCAAAATAGTCAAGGTGGTGCATCTTTAATTTTTGACAGAAATGTTAATCCTGTGAGTATAAAAGTGCAGTGTATTCAATGGGTGTTTAACAGAGAAACTATTGTTAACCATTTTACTCCCCACAACAAAACAAATGTGCTTAATATACAGTAGTCAACATTTGAAGTGGATCAAAAAAGTTTTTTGTCCTAAAACAAGAATGGGTGTTTGTGAATAGTTTTTGGATAACTTTGATGAAAGGTGAAGATCCACTTCAAACTACTGTCCAATAGTTAAACCTTAATAATCACAAATTCAACGTTTTGCTTCTGTAGTCATAGTTTAACCATGGTAAAACTGTAGTTATTAAAATGATAACCAATGTACTAAAAGAACACTTACTACAGTTTTAATATAATCATACATTGGTAAGGGGATGGTGTTCAACACTTAAACAAAAATGCTAATAATCATAATGAGAAAAGTACTTCCAGAATCAGTGCTGCGCTAATGCTGTATACCAGCTATGCCAACATTTTATTACCACATCATTGATTTAGGAGATGATGTAATGCTCTGCATATGGATGTGTTTAATCGTAAACTGTAAACTCGATTTTATTTCAGGGTTTTGTAGCTCATCAGATCAGTGCTACAGCCGAGTGGTCTCTAGCTTTCTCCTTCATCTGCTTCTTCATCACTTACATACAGGATTTCCAGGTATGATCTTTAATGTCCAACTTTTCCCCCACATGATGATTCCTGTTTCAAATGATGGGTTGCACTTACAGCTTAGGAACCTTCCATTCAAACAAACTAAAACAAGTCACTTCATATAATAAGGCTCGCTACACATATTATATATACACACGTACAGATATGTTTTTGGCCCAGCTCACTTTGGTTTGGTATGTTTGGCCCGGTTTGCATTTCCTCTGCAGATTAGTAATGCTTAAAGCTGGTGGAGTTATTACTATACAGGTAGCTGTACCGCCTCCACTGCCGTGACTTCTGAAAATACTTTAACTCCGGGTTGATGCTCCTCAGCTGAAAGAGGTCTGAATGCAGACCTGGGTGTAGTTGTTATCTGAGCTGCATGCACTGCTTTTTCAGGATGTCCATCGGGTCTTAAAAAGTATTAAAAGTTCATCAATTTAGAGAACTTTATGTTCATTTAAAAATGCTGAGTTGAAGGTATTGAACATCGTATCATAGTTGTATGCTAGCATCTAATCTGTGAATAGTGGGATGCTACGTAGTTTATGAAATTAATAAAATCCTGCTAGATTTGACAACACACTGCTTTGTTTTCCAAAGCAACACCAATATTTTCGAGAGGGTGCTCGCTGCAGAGCCATTTGAGCAGAGCTGAGCTCCAGCGAGGGGGAGCATGAGCTCTCGCTCTGCCTCCTGTAAGCTGTTTTATTGCGTACACCAACCCCACCCCCAGTGACATCACTCGTAGAAGAAGTGCAAAAAAGGTGGAGCTCAAGCTCAAGCTCTCCCTCGCTGGAGCTCAGCTCGCCCAAATTGCTCTGCAGCAAGCACCACTTGATATTTTCTGCTGTTCTAAGTGCACCGCCTGCTGGATTTGCATTTTTAATCAGTAAATGAATAATATTTTAGTTTAGAATTAGTTTCTTACAATCAGTATTCAGTAAATATACTGTAAATTAAAATGTCAACAATGCTAACAGATAAAACCAATGACTAAAAAATATGGACGACGCGACAGCCCCTTTTCCCATTGAACGCCTTGAGGGCAAAACGCCTGCTTGACGGGCACAACCTGTCGCAAAAGACTGCTGAAATTGGAGCCTTGACATGCGCAGAAGGACTGTCTGATGGAGCCAGAGGAGGAGCCGCGAAAAGTCGAGCTTCCAACCAAACGCTTTATGTAAAATCAACCACGCCCCCCGAACTTCTCAGCATGCGTTTGCTGTCATATCAACACAAATGGATGTAATAACGTTAACAAATATGAGGGTTTTATATATTCAATCGCGCCAGCTCCGGGCCGCAGCGCATAACCTACTCGCTGCGTCGCCGGCTGATTCCGGCTCGCATGCGGCAGCGCCGGCTTGCTCGGCCGCCGCATCTGGCTCGATTGACTCGGGCTGGAATCGGGCAGTGAGTCCAGGCATCCGGAGTAGGTCCAGCAGAGGTAGTCAGTCTGAGCTCTGAGGGTTAAGTCTCCGGCAGGCGATAATCAAGCCGGAACTGGCCCGAGTGTATTTTGCTATCTGGGTGGTTAGGCGTGTATCAGCAAACTAATAAAGCCCGAAAAAAGCCCTGACCTTAGCGAATAAACAGTGTTCCACCAGGATCATGTATGTCAGAAACTATAGTTTACTGCTGAACTCATTTTGTCATGGTAAAATAACACAGAAATCGAATAATAACACTCTAGTCTCCTGCCGAAGCTCAGACGCGCTGCTTTGAGAAACTGTCAATCACAGCTGTCAATCACGATGACACGCCCAGCATTAAATTACTGCTAAAAACAAACTGTTTACAAAAATGAAGATCTGCACCTATTTCAGCACAATAACCAGTGCCTTAATCGACCAGAACCATCTTTCTGGACATTTTATTGCAAGTGTAATAATTTTTTTTTATTTGGGCTCAAGTCTCCTTCATTAACACGGAGGAGGCGGGCTTTATGACTTGTACTGCAGCCAGCCCCCAGGGGGCGATCTAACGGCCGAGACCTTCAGTCAAACGCAGGCTTGCGGCACACTTGGTTGAAACCTAAAGCGGCGATGAGTTTAATAATGTACGCATCTCATTCCTTTGTGCCACCTGGCGGCATTAGTTGCAAACTGCGGTCACACCTAAAAAAAACACGTTCTTTTTCATTTAGAGCGGTGGCGGTACATGGTGCAGCGGTGATGGCCACATTAAACTCTCACCTACTGTATGAATAGTCTTAAAAATCTTAAAACGTATTCAATTTCACTCACTGTTTTCTGTTTTTAATACCCACACCAAACCCCACCCCTCACAAAGACGTTACTTGCTCCATTCAGTGCATTGTGTTTGACACTGCATCTCTGAGATATGCAATTTCAGCTTGCATCCAAATACTATTGCCTCACCTACCAATGAGAGAAATGTCTGGAGCACTAGGCTTTCATTTCAGGGGGCATTTGATTACAGTGGTATGTAACTGATTTAGTCTTTTGAAGCAACAATACAGCAGTGTCTGCGGCTGACTGTTTATAGACTTTTTTCTTGGAACACAAAATTACCCATTATGCTTTGCGTCTATGCGCAAGGAGAATGCGAAGAACTTCCGGTCGGCAGCTGATGCGTGTAAACAGTCACATTTGGACAGCTTTGAAACGATAGTTTTAATCTATTTTATCTGCTTTTATCCTCTTTGAACTAATACTGTTGTCCATCAGCACCATCTCCTGGACTGATCATTTGAAGAAATGCGATCTAATAGGATGGAAAACAGCTGCTGTGAGGCATTTTCCCCTCGTTGTCAGACGGCATCTTCTACAGTTTAAATGAAGCCTTGTCATCGCTAAAGTCAACATTTTCTCTTTATTTCAAATATATAACCAGCTCAAACAAATGTAGTTCACCAAAATGTTTGACACACACACGTAGCCTGTACTGTGCCACTGACACACTGATTTAATAACTGTGACAGTGAAAATATAGGCTAGTGTCATTTCGAAATGACAGAAAAACACAAACGGCTTGCGATTAAAATGAACAGCAAATCAGCCACCAGAGTATCAATAACAGACTTTTATTGGTCATTTTTGTAAATTGCACAACTTTCATACCTGTTAAGTTTCATGCCAGTACTCTGGTTTGCTCTCTCTCTCTCTCTCTGTGTGTGTGTGTGTGTGTGTGTTAAAGAGCTGCTGAGCTAACAGCTGACAGGCCGGGAACACACACACACACACTGTATTTCTGATGGCAGACACGTGAACTAGGAGAACGTGTTTCTCGTATTTCTGACGCGCTTGAACCACATTATAACCACATTATAACGGCTTTAACAGACACATTTCTAAGTTGTGTGTCACAAAAACACTCTGTTATCCATTAAAAACGTTATTGAAACCCATTTTCAGAGCGCAAATTACCAGTTGTACACGCTGTAAACAGAAGTTTTTAGCATTCTATCGGAAGACACTATGGTGCCCTCCATGCAGCAGCCATGAAAAAGGTCTATAGCAGGGCTGGGGAACATTTTTTCTATCAAGGGCCGTTCACATTTTTGCAACATCGTTTAAGGGCCATACTAAATTATAGGGCTGCTCGATTATGGGAAAAATCATAATCACAATTCTTTTGGTCATAATTGTTATCAGGATTATTCAAAATGATTATAAGTTAAAGTCAAAATTATTCACCCTCCTGTGTTTAGTTTTTTTTTATATATAAATATTTCCCAAATGATGTTAAACAGAGGTAAAATGTTTATATTTTTGATTGTCTGAAGAAGGAACTACTGTTAAACAATGACTTAATTACACTAATTAAGCTTTTGAATTTCACTTTACGCTAAATACTAATATACTGTCATCAAAGCAAAGATAAAATAAGTCAGTTATTAGAAATGAGGGATTAAATCTGTTATGTTTAAAAATGGGTTAAAAATAAATCTTTCTATTAAACAGAAATTGGGGGGAAAGGGTTGCTAATAATTCAGGAGGGCAAATAAATCTGTTTTAACTATATATATGCACAGACTGGCTCCATAGTATAGGCAGTTAATAAGCCAGTAGTTAAAAATGACAATTGGCACTTAAATTAAAGTGTTCCAACCATACTCATTATTATTATTATTATTTGTTTGTTTTGAACCAGAAAATCACTCTACGAGTTCAGTCTGTGCTTCAGAGTAACCATCTGTACAACTATCCTCACTATGAAGAGCGAGAGCACGTGCAGCATGGAGAACGCTCTCCTCTACTGGCGGGCACAATGTGACACACTGCGCCCCCTGCTGGACAACACCGAACACTGAAGCACACCGCCGTTCACATACTCAACAAAGCTGAATATATTAACTCCGACAGACACTTTTCAGCCTCAAGACAAACTTCTGATTTGCTTTCATGCACTATTCTGAAAATGCCCCGGTGTCTTGGTATGTAAATCTTTACATACATTTTATAATCAGACTAAGATCAGTTATAAAATATTAATGACCGATCACAAATATGGAGATGAAAAGTATCTTTTATTTAATTTAAATGTCATACTGAATGTGTTGTTTCCTTTTAAAATACATTTAGAGAATTGCGTCTGGCTCAGTTTCTGTGACAAGCCGAAACAAGCCTTGCAAACATTAAATACAGCAGCATATCACAATACAGTTACCCCTGATGCCCAACAGACCCCAACATGAATGACAAACCGAACACACGAAGACATAAATAAAAAATAATCAGACATTCGATTCTATCTACATTCCTTACAATTATTTACTTGTATACCGACTGATTTATTTCACATGAGATTTACAACCAGCTACTGTGGTGAGTGCTGCCGCTACTGTTTCTTGGCTTTCTCTCTCATCTTTTTGTGGTATTCGGCAATCTTTCTCTCAAATATCCCTGGAAAAAAGAAGTAAAGGGAGTGTATATGAAGTATCAAGATCATTTTTTAAATTCATTTCTGTTTTATTTGTTAATTCCAGATTATATACAATTGATTAGACTTGATGTTTATACAACAGTTCTGTCTGGTTCTCGCCACTGATAGCCGTGCGATATTCTGCTATAACAGCACTCGTAAAGCCTTTTCACCCTTCTGTATTACTCCGCCCACATAGAGTGACAACAGATCAACAGACTCACTACAGTTTGACAAATATTGCAGCTGTTGGACAACATGATGTACTTCTGAGGCCTTTTTGGTCGAGAATGTAGTTGTGTAGATTGCAACTATGTAGTTTATTTATAAGGATAGTGCCTAATTGAAATATTTATAATATCAGAGATGCAGCACATCGGTGGTCAGTCTGTCATACTGAGCAGAGCAAAGACGGTTGATGTTTCGCCACAAGATGGCGACAGAGACCACATAATAAGCCCTTAGAGGTGGAAAAACTCAGCGTAATTTCTAACTACAGCTGATCAAATCATTATAAAAGAGTTAAAAGACTTTCTAAGTCGATCTCTCTCTCTCTTTTGTTTGTTGAAGTGCTGTATTTATACCATAGTCTGGTGGTGTTTTTGGTAGTGTTTGCTTTGTTTAGTCTTTTTCAGGGTTAATTATTGTGATACCTGATTGCAAAAGCGAAATACTGTGAAATCTCTGTAGACTGATGGCATTTCATGTTGTTTAGCTTTATAATCTTAAAATGTGAGCAAAATCTCCTGTTTTGTCATCACTTTAGACATTACACTAGAGAATCATTCAAATACTAGCTCTAAAGTGATGTGTGTCGAAGGCTTCTGCTGTTCTGACGTCAGCTGCAGATGTGAGTGAATGGCGGAAGAAAGTAGTTCTTTATACTTTTCTATATACATGACTATGTCGCTGAACTGTTGTATAAATGCCGTATCACACTTGTAGCAGGGCCATATGGTTGTATATTGTCACTGGTGGGACACTAAGGCACGTCTCCCATCAGTGCCGATATCGCCATACCGCACTGCTACTCGTTTGATATTGCTCATATATGTATAATAAAAGAAATGACATAAATTGGCATATGGCCATTAAATTGTATCTGTTATTTCATTAAACAAAATGATATATAATTATCAAAATGAAATATCAATGATATATTTATATTTTTTCAAATAAATAACACGGATATAGTTTAATGGCCAGTCAAATTTTTATGCCAATTTACTACAGTATATTTAGTAGTTATAAGCAAGTATATATGTATATGTGTGTGTGTGTGTGTGTGTGTGTGTGTATATATATATATATATATATATATATATATATATATATATATATATATATATATATATATATATATATATATATATATATATATATATAACTACTAAATATAGTTATATACTATATATAGTGTATACAATATAAATGTGTTTTTGTTGTTTTGTTTTTTATTTAATATTTAAAATATTCCATTAATGTACTATTCATTTATTGAATTGTGTTATTATTTTGTATAACTTCTACAATGTTAAATTTGTGTTTAACTTTTTTTTTTAAGTGTAAATAATCATTTTATTCGCTCAGTTAATAAGAGTTGATGAAATTTGATGATATTTCTAACAGAATATTCAAGAATGACATTTCCTGCTAACTAAGTCAAATGTGGCGTATCTTACCTTTGCCGTCCTGTGAAGCAGGTCTCTGTTCCATCTCCTGAATGAAGAGGTCAAACATCTGCGTCTGTACAAACTTCTTCACAAACTTTCTCGTGCTTTTGGACTCTATCGCTTTACAGAAATTAAGTTGCTGGAATTCGCCTCTCTTGTCTTGTCCTTTCCTTGTGATGTGCTTGGCAAAGTGGCCCACAGTCTTGATAAAGAACGGCAGAAAAGCTTCTGGAACCACCCGATTTAATTCCTCAAGACCTGAATGAATGCATGAGTCATTACCTTCAATGTAATTATTACTCTTAGTTAATTCATGAACAATATATGCTGTTTCTAGGGTGTGATTAAGATGACTGATATTTTGCACGTTTATATATGAACGACAATAGTTTAATCTGTTTAGTGTTTGTCATTTGAAAGCCATTACGGCAGGGAATGTCTGATAAAAATCATCTACAGAGGAACTCTGCTTTTATTTGTTACTTGTAACACTGTTGCAATATGGAAGGGAATTGGGGTCAAAATATTTAAATGAAATGGGACTCTTTAGTACACAGATTGACCACATTAAGATTGCCTTGTACATCCCAGTATATTAATATGATATCCTTCACATTCATTCATTCATTCATTCATTCATTTTCCTTGGCTTAGTCCCTCACCACAGCAAAATGAACTGCCTTAACATCTATACACACTCATTCACACACGTACACTATGGCCATTTTAGTTTTTTCAATTCACCTATATGTGTTTGGACCGAGGGGGAAACTGGAGCACCCAGAGGAAACCCACGCAAACAAAGGGAGAACATGCAAACTCCAAACAGAAATGCCAACTGACCAGGGCTGGAGAGGGACTCAATTTCAGCCCTGGAGTTTCAAGACAGACCGGCCCACCTCAGTTCCCGACTGATTCCAATTCAGTTTCTAATGGCACTATCACGTCTTTTTCAAGAAAACAGCTGCTTTAGAAATTCAAATGTTCAACAGCCGTAACAGTATTATATGTCTTAACAATAATAATAATAAAAAAATAATAATAATAATAATTATAAATTTTTAGGTGAGATTCGAACACGGGTCCGTGGCGTTATTATGCAACGTGCTTACCACTGGTCCACAATGGCGCTAATAACAGGGATTAAGAAACAAGTGATGACTTGTGACCCTTAAGACACAGCATTACTTTCTATTGATGGCTTAATTTTTTTTTTCCCCTTTTTAGATTTCTGATCAAGTTATGTTAGATTTATTATTGTAGTAAATCATCTCATTTTCATTGAGCAGGTGTATTATTCATTAATATTAATTATATTCACTAAGGTGCGGCTGTTTGTGGTCGATAATTACATCATTATTAATGTTAGTTAACCTGCAGGCTGCATTTTGTCACGGGACTACGAGAAAATAAATAAAAATTGCGGAGCTGCGGCAAAATAATGAATAAAAAGAGTGAAGCTGGTCAAATAAATAAATAAATGAAAAAAGTGTGACTGCTGAGAGTGCAAGCAGCTTGGAACACCGGCCCTCGCGGCCAAAAAACAGACCGGCCCACCGGGAATTCTCCCGGTCCTCCCGATTAGCCAATCCGGGCCTGCAACTGACCCAGGCGGGACTTGAACCAGCAACCGTCTTCCTGTAAGGCGACAGTGCTAACCACTGAACCACCATATCGCTTATATGCTTCAGAAAGAAACTCAAATCTAATATTTCTGTATATACAATTGTGCTTAAAATAATAGCAGAGTGTTAAAAAAGGGTGAGTAAAGCTTAAAAATCTAATAATAACTTTTATTTCAGTGCACGCAAATGCATTGGGAACACCAAACATGACATTCTAAATAAAAAAATAAAGAAAAAAATGGTTAAATGTATTATTGCATTATAGAAAGTGAAGAAAAACAAATTAGGCAGTTTAAAAAAAAAAGCAGTGTCTGCATTTTTCTTTAATTGAATATTTACTTTATTAACTGAAAAATACTTGTGAATCACTGAAATAATATATAACTATATAGTTGTACAGTCCCAAGTAGTACAATTTAACTGGCTCTTATGTTTGTTGATGAATTGACAAGATCACATTTTATTTTATGCATTTAATTTAAACACATTTTGGCCCCAACTGCCTTCCATACTGCAACAGCACATTAAGTGTTGGTTATTGAGTCCTCTTCTAAATGTCTTAAGGCTTTTTTTTTTACCTCCATAGTATCGCTTGGAAACATTGCAAGCAGTAAACTGCCTTTTTGAGACTTATTTAAATACAGTAGAATGTTTGGGATATTACTAGCATATTTGTCCATGGTATATCTGCTCCATTCTGCTTAATTTTGGGCTATTTTATATAAAGAAATGTTAAATATTAATGACCTGAATGACTTTTATTTTAAATTTGAAAGGAATATTATAAGTAGCTTACAGAACAAAACAAAGATGACATTGTACTTAAACACATATTTATGAATTATAAAACTGAGCATTTTTGAATAGTCACTTAATTTTTTCTAGATTTTTGTATATCTGTGGTTCAAAAGATGGATAGTTGAATGCACCAACATTTAGGCACACCACCTGTACAATGACGTCTTTCACAAGACAAATTATTTGTATATACAAATAATAACATAATTCATAATAATCTTAAGTCTTTGGGTGCTTTATAATGGTCTTCTTATTATAAATATTATTAAAGAAAATATTCCACAATTATTTTAATGCATTAACTACCATTTACTAATAAGACATTATTCTACTTTATCATATTTTTTTGCATTTTAAATGGTTTAAATTTTTAATTTACAGTATATGCAAGAAATACATAAAGTATTTTGATTATTATACCTGTTAAAAGTACAGTAAACTTTTTTGTAAATTGGACCAACATCATGATAATACTGTATATCATAATAAAAGCTTCAGCAATTAATCTTGACAAGAAAATATGATACTGGAAGAAGCTTATATAGTACGGAAGGATATGATTTTAGATGCAGGCACTGTTAATTGTGCACAAAGAACAACCAATCTTAAGCAGTGAGTTTTGATGGGTTAGTTCAAATTACCAAGCCTAATAAAAAAACTGTCCTTCCCAGCAAACACTGTAAAGCAAATGTAAAAGCAAGCTTCTTACTTGATTTGTCATTT